CCCCGCCCGTGAGAGTTCTCGTCCTCCTCTTCGTCCTCGTTCTGTGCCTCCTTCTTTTCTGCCTCCTCCTCCTGCGTCCCCCCTCTTGCTCCTCCTCCTTCTCTTCCTTCTCGTCCTCTTTGTCGTCGTCCCTCTCCTAATACACCGCCTCATCTTTAGTACTTCGCATCGGCCTCCAGCGTTCAGTCCCCCGCGTTCCTCCTCCTCTCCTCCTCCTCCTCCTCCTCCTCTTCCTCCTCCTCCTCCTCCCCCCTCCCGTCATCGTCAGCACTTTCACCGCATGCCCGACCATATCTCCTCACACCCCTCACACGGGTCGTGGCCCCATATGCAGCTCCACCGAAGGCTCCAGTGGCTGCGTCCGCATGGCACCTCCGTCCGCCCGGCCCGAGCGCGCAGGCGAAAGTAAAACGCCACAGGCCAAAAACCCAGGTCACGATTCCTTCTTCGGGCCCCAGAACGCCACAGGCAAAAACCCAGGTCACGATTCCTTCTTTGGGCTTCAGGAGCGCCACTGACGCGGAGGAGAGCAGGGGAGCACTTCCTCTACACGCGCGCGCTCTCGGCAAGACCCGGAGGCCCGACGCGCAAGGCAAAAAAAGCGCCACAGGCAAAAACCCAGGTCGCGATTCCTTCTTTGGGCCCCTGGAGCGCCACAGGCAAAAACCCTGGTCGCGATTCCTTTTGTGAGCCAGGCCGAGGGAAGCGGAGGAGCACCCCCCCGCCCGGCGCGCGCGCCCCGGCCAGTGCCCCGGGGACCCGACGCGCAAGGCAAAAAAAAAAACGCCACAGGCAAAACACATCTTTTTTACCTGTAAAGTTTTTTTTTGCCTTGCGCGTTGCAGCCGCGGAAAGTGGGTGGCGGGGAGAGACGGCGGAGGGAAGATGAAGCAAGTCGAGGAGGTGAGCAGAGGACGGGGGGCGTCGGAGCCGAGGAGGAAGAGCTGTGAGACAGCGGAGACGACGGCGGCGGCGTCGTCGGCTTGCGCGAGGAGGCCATCCATGGTCAGTGATCCCCCCTCTCCCCTCTCTGCCCGACGACGACGGCAAACTCCGACGGCGACGGCGACGGCGACGGCGACGGCGACGACGACGGCGACGGCGACGGCTACGGCGACGGCGACGACGGCGACGACGACAGCGGCGTCGACGCCGACGACGACGGCGACGTCGGCAACGACGACGATGACGACGAAGACGGCGATGACGACGGCGACGACGAGACGACGACGACGACGACGACGACGTCGACAACGACGACGGCGACGACCACGACGAGGCACGACGCACGGCGCACCGCGCACGGCGCACGGCGACGACGACGAGGTGGGCGACAACGGAAACGACGACGACGGCCGAGGATTACCCTCGACCGCGACGAGGACGACGACGACGACGATGACGACGACGACGACGACTACGACGACGTCGAGGGCCTGCCGCGGCGCCTCCGCCCGCGAGGCGGAGCGCGACGCCGAGGAGGGCCGGCAGCGGCAGGCGCCCAGCGGGCGGCGGCGCACGGCGGCCCGCGGCGGCCGGCGGCGGCCGGCGGCGGCGGTCGCTGGCGGCGTCGGCAGGTGCGGCGGCTGGCGGCGGCTGCTGCGATGCTCGGAGGAGGACAAGGTACTTCAGATTTCGTAATAAAGGGAGGGGGGTCTCATTTCGGGGGGGGGGTCTCTTCCAGGGGGCGTCTCATTTCGGAGGCTATCTTGGAGGGCCTGGGGGGTCTGGGGACGATGTTTTGGAGGGTTCTCCCACGGGGGAGGTCTGAAATGGCTTGTCTTGGAGGGTCCAGACCCCCTCCCTTTTATTATGAAATCTGGAGTACCCATACCTAGGGGGCCACACGCGAACCCTACCCCTACCCCCCACGATTTCTCAGGGGGAGGGCGGGGTTCACTTCGTTCGGGGGACCGGGGAGCTCCCGAGCGAAGTGAACCCCAGCCTCCCCCTTAGAAATCTTGGGGGGTAGGGGTAGGGTTCGCGTGTGGCCCCCTAATTCCGTGACCTTGGTTTCCCATCTTTTGGGGGCCTGGGAGGCCCTCGTCGCCACCGCTGTCTTCGCCTCGAAGCTCTGGTCAGACCGCGTTCCGGGAGGAGGTCCGTGGAGTCGCGGTATCGGTAGCTCTTGGTTCCCCAGACGCGGCGGCGACGGCGGCGACCGCGACGGCGACGGCGACTGCTGCGATGCGGCGGCGAGTGGCAGTGAAGGGGGGCCTACGCGGTTCTTCTAACGCCTGGTCAGGCATGCCGGGCGTTCCGAGCGCATCTTGCCGCGGCGACTGAGGGCGTTCATAGAGGCCCACACAGCGCCAAGAAGCGTCCCCTCGAACCTCGAGCCTCGAACCTCGACGCCTGCCACGTGGTCGTGCGCGCCAGCGGCCGCTCCATGCTTGTTGTCGCCGATCTGGTCGCCGTCCTCGTCGGTTTCGTCTTCGTCGTCGTCATCGTCGTCGTCGCCGTCGCCGTCGCCTTTGTCGTCGTTGTTCTCGTCGTCGTCGTCGTCGTTGTCTCCGTCGTCGTCATTATCGCCGTCGCCGTTGTCGTCGTCGTTGTCGTCGTCGTCGTCGTCGTCGTCGTTGTCTCCGTCGTCGTCATTATGGTCGTCGCCGTGCGTCGTCGTCGTCGCCGTCGTCGTCGTTGTTGTCTCGTCGTCGTTGGTCTTCGCCGCTGCCAGCCGCGGGGCGAGGCGGAGGAGCAGGCCGCGGCGCCCAAGAAGCTGGCGGGGCTGGCCGCCGTGCCCGTCGGGCGCCGAGCGCCCCGGCGGCGTCGTCGTCGTCGTCGTCCGTCGTCCGTCGTCGTCCGTCGCTGTGCGTCATCCGTCGTCCGTTCTCGTCCGTCGTCCGTCGGTCGTCGGTCGTAGGTCGGTCGGTCGTGTTGTCGTCGTCGTCGTCGTTGTCGAGGGTCGTCCTCGGTCGTCGTCGTTGTTGTTTTTGTTGTCGCCGTCGCCGTCGTCGTCGTCGTCGTCGTCGTCGTCGCCGGGCGCCGTGCGCCGTGCCTCCTCGTCGTCGTCGTTGTCGCCGTCGTCGTCGTCGTCGTCGCCGTGCGTCGTGCGACGTGCGTCGTCGTCGTCGTCGTCGTCGGTCGTCGATCGAGGGTCGAGCAACATTGTTTCTTGGACGGTGATGTTTTTGTCCCTGGGCCTTCTAGCTTCCCCTGGCCACAGCTGAATCCGCTCGACTCCCTGAACCGTCGAAAGCGTAGGATTAGCACCGAGATCCTCCTCCCTCCTCTTCCTTGTTCCGCAGGGTGCAGAGCAGCTTCTCGGACGCCCTCGACCGCTTGCTCAAGGAGGAAGAGAAGGCTTTCAGCGGCTGCGGGGGGGGGAGTAGGATGATGAGGAGGAGTCAGGAGAACCAAGTCAGGATGGAGAAATTGAGAAAAGAGGAGGAAGAGGTATCATGATGGTGGTGCTGGTGATGATGGTGCTGTTGATGGTGATGTTGTTGTTGTTGGTGGTGATGGTGATGCTTTGATGTTGTTGTTGGTGGTGTTATTGTTGCTGGTGGTGTTGATGCTGATGTTGATGTTGATGTTGGTGTTGTTGTGCGTGTTGTTGTTGTTATTGCAGTTGCTGTTGCTGTTGCTGTTGTTGTTGTTGTTGTTGTTGTTGTTGTTGTTGGTGTTGTTGTTGTTGTTGTTGTTGTTTTTGTTGTGGCTGTTATTGTTCTTGTTCTTGTTGTGTTGTTGTTGTCGGTGGTTTGGTTGTTGGTGTTGTTGGTGCTGGTGATAAAGGTGATGGTGGCGCGATAGGGGAGGGAACGGTGAAGAAGGAATATCCAGATACGGATAAGGATAATCATGATACTGTTGATGACGATTAATGTGACGAGGATGATGATTATGGTGATGATGGTGATGTTGATGATGAGGATTGTGGTTGTAGTATCGATCATGATGATGCCGATACCGCTGCTGCTGATGATGATGGTGATGGTGATGTTGATGTTGCTGATGCTGATGAGGATGATGTTGATGCTGATGATGATGGCGTCAACGGTGCTGATGATGATGGTCATTGCGACGATGCTGATAATGATGATGGTGCTGATGATGACGAGGGTGATGATCATGGTGGTGACGGTGATGATACTGATGGTGTTGCGGATGATGACGATGATGATGATGATGATGATGATGATGATGACGATGCCGGATGATGGTGGTGATGATGATGCTGTTGGTTATGATGCTGCTGATGATGGCGTTGATGATGCGGATGATCATAGTGATCAATCTCCTGCTGCTGACGATGATGATGCTGCTGTTGGTGATGCTGATGCTGATGCTGGGGGTGATGATGATGATGATGCGGATGCTGGTGATGCTGATGCTGATGATGCTGGTGATGATGATGCTGGTGATGGTGATGGTGATGGTGATGATGGTGATGATGATGCTGCTGATGATGACGGTGGTGATGATGATGATAATGATGATGATGATGGTGCTGATGATGCTGATGCTGATGCTGCTGATGATGCCGATGATGATGGGGATGACGATGCTGATGAGGATGAAAGAAACGATGAACATGTTACTTGTGATGCTCATTCTGCTGATGAGCATGACGATGCTGATGCTGATGGTGATGGTGATGATGCTGATGCTGATGCTGATTACTCTGATGAATATGCTGCTGCTGATGATGCTGATGATGATGATGCCGATGCTGATGATACGGATGCTGATGCTGATGATTCGAATGCCGATGCTGATACTGATGATGATGATGGTGGCGGTGATGCTGAGGCTGATGATGTGGATGCTGATGCTGATACTGATGCTCATACTGATGTTTATGTTGATGCTGCTGATGATGAGTATTATGCTGCTGATGATGATGATGCTGATGCTGTGGCTGTTTATGATGATGATGATGGAGATGCTGCTGATGATGATGACGATGATGTTGATGATGCTGATGCTGATGATGATGGTGGTGGTGGTGGTGATGATGATGCTGATGCTGCTGATGATGCTGACGATGCTGCTGCTGATGATGCTGATGCTGATGCTGATGCTGATGCTGATGCTGATGCTGATGCTGCTGCTGATGATGATGATGATGATGATGATGATGATGATGCTGATGCTGATGCTGATGATGATAACGACTGTTATCATGAGTTGGAGGAGTCGGAGGAGGAGGGGGAGAAGGGTTCTGGGCCCAGAGGAAGAGCAGTGAGGAAGTGAGGACGGAAGTGAGTGAGGAGAACGTAGGAAGGAGGAGCTGGAGGGAGGGAGGGAGGGAGGGAGGGAGGAGGACGAGGAGGAGGAGGAGGAGGAGGAGGGAGGAAGGGAGGGAGGGAGGGAGGGAGGGAGGGAGGATGAGGATGAGGTTTGAGGATGAGGAGGAGGAGGAGGACGACAAGGATCGAGGATCAACGATCGAGATTCGAGGGTCCAAGTTGTGTGGGCCTCCAGGAGGCTTCACGGCATGATTGCTGGAGTTCTGGAGAGGTCTGGGGAGCCGACTTCGAGGAAGGGGAGGAGGAGGCGGACGAGGAGTAGGAGAGTCCGCGCTCGTGAGGGAGACTGCAGTTTCGCTTGCTGCAGTACGTAGCACCACAGAAGGAACAGTTCCGCGATAAGTCTGCCCCACATCGTTCTTGTTGATGCCCTCGCCGTGCCTTGAACATTGAAAAATCGATGACCACAGGATTTGCGCGTTGAAACCTATGCACCCGCCATCCGCAACTGCTGTACACCATGGTTCCCCAACCTTGCTCTACACGTCTGTGCTGCACCGTAGCGCTCCCACATTACACGATGGCCCTCCCAGACCTGTTCAACGTGTGTGTCTGTCGACCCTCGCTTCCCCTCCTACTTCCCCTTCTCGTCCCCCCGCGTATCCCTCCTCCTGGGACTCCCTGGAACTCCGCCCCAAGCCCCTGGCAACTAGCACTTCAAGGTGCCCTTCAATCAATCCAGGGCCCCTATATCCAGACCCCCTGCCCTCTTCTTCTTCTTCTTCCTCCTCTTCTTATACTTCTTCTTCTTCTTCCTTCTCATCATTATCACCATCATTATCAGCATCATCATCATCGTCATCATCACCACCATCAACATCATCAACAGCATCATCATCATCATCATCAGCGCCAGAGTCGACACTGGGCCCTGCTCACAAGAGTTGGCGCAGCTCGCCCGCCAAGCAGGAGCCCATGTGGATAAAGAGCGACACGTCTCTGAAGTGTACCGTTTCCTCCACGCCGACAGGGGTACATCCGAGAGTGCCGCGTCCGCGTGCAAGGAGGCCATACCTATGTCTTTGCAAGAGCGCCAGCGGCTACATACGCATGGTGGTGGGACGTGACGGCCCGCAACCCACGCGGCGCGGCAGGTGCGCGCCCATGCGGATGCAGCGGCTGCGGCACGCATCAGCCTGCGGGACACTGCTGCGAGGTACGCCCAGGTGGTTGCCACGCTCAGCTTCGAGACGCACCGGCGCTTGCGCGCGCAGTCCGCCACGCTCCTGGACACGCAGGTCGCGGAGCTCGCCCCCATCAAGGGCGCGCGCGCCCAGCGTCGTGCTGCGGCTCTGGCGCTGGCGACTGGAGCGCGCCATGCTGATGGCGCAGGCCGACGTCGCCTCGGCGCCGGCTACATTTCAATCGAACATGAGGCTCACGCTCGAGCGCTTTTGGGGGGCGCCAAAACTGGCCCCCCAACAACAACAACGCTCCCGCTCGATTTGTTTTTTTTACCCAGAGCCGGTGCTCTTGCTCGCCGCCGAAAACCGCCGCCCAAACATAACCAACGCTCCCGCTCGAGACTTCTTCCCGTTTTACCTTGGACTGGCGCGCTACTCTTTCTCTCATCGGCGCCGCCCCCAGCGAGAACAACGCTTCCGCTCGAGATTTCTTTTTTTTTTTTTGCTCAGAGCCGGTGCTTTTGCTCGCCGCCCAAAACCGCTGCCCCAACAAAACCAGTGCTCCCTCCCGTTTTACGCTGGAATGGAGCCCAACTCTCTTTTGAACTGGCGCCACCCCCAGCAAGAACAACGCTCCCGCTCGAGGCTTCGTCTCTTTTTCCTGAAGACGGTGCTGTTCCTCGCCGCCGACAGCCCCCGTCCCGACAAAAACCGCGGCTCCCGCTGGAGACTTCTTCCACTCTTACTCAAGGCGGTGTTCCCCCTCGCCGCCGGCAACGGCCGTCCCAACAGAACCAGCGCTCTCCCTCGAGACTCCGTGGTGTTTCACGCTGGACTAGCGCCCTACTCTCTTCTGTGTTGGCGCCGCGCCCAGCAACGACAGCACCCCTGCTCGAGACTTCCTCCTTTTCTATTCAGGGCCAGGTCCTTGCCTCGACGACGACAGCCCCCATCCCCACCAAGCCAACCTTATCGCTCGATACTTCCTTGTGCTTTACCCTTGGCTGGGGTTCCACTGGCGGTCTCGCATCGGCGCAGCAGGGCGCGGGCATGTGTTTCCGAGGCGGGATATGTTGAAATTCCTCGGAGGAGGTGTTTGCAAGACCTCATTGGGCGGGAGATCTGGGAATGGGAATAACGTACCACCGCGATAGAACAATAATCCGCCATGCTGTGGACGGTTGTCATGATGGTCACATGCTGTGTGTGGCAGCATCGCGCATGAGGGTATAATGGTTGTTGTTGTCGTCGTTGTCGTTGTCGTTGTCGTTGTCGTTGTTGTCGTTGTTGTTGTGTTGAATATTCATTTCTAAAGAATACTTATTGTTGATCTCCCGAAACGGTTCCGCACGCTCTCGCCTCGACGCCGGCTAGACTTTCTCTGAAAACGAGGCTCCCGCGCGAGCGTTGGCTTGAGCCTAAATGTGGGCCATTGGAGGCCCAGCTACGACAACAACGGCTCCCGCTCAATACTTCCTCACAATTTACCGCGAGATACCCTGGCCAGAGAGGCCCCCGAACTCAGGAACGGCGCTCTCGCTCGAGACTTCCTCGCAATTCAATTTTGAAGGCGCAGGCCCAGCCACGACGCCTAGGGCTCCTGCTCGATACTTCCTCACGATTTACTCCGAGAGCCCCTGGCCAAGAAGGCCCCCGAACTCAGGAACGGCGCTCTCGCTCAAGACTTTCCCGTAATTTAGACAAGTTGGTGGAGGCCCAGAACTCAGGAACGGCGCTCTCGCTCGAGACTTCTTTGCACTTCAGTTAGTGGCCGACAAGGAAGATATCCCCCCGCAAGCGGGCGCAATCGAAGACGAAGTGTGCGGATATCGAGTGTTGGGGTGTACGGAATGCAAGACACGCGTGCCAGTAAGAGCGAACAGTCTTAAACTTATTGTTGTTGTTGTTGGTATTGCGGCTGCTGCTGTTGGTGGTGTTGTTGATGATGTTGATGTTGATGCTGATGTTGATGCTGATGTTGATCATGAATATGCTGGTGCTGCTGCTGATGATGACGATGATGGCGATTGGGGTCATGAGGAAGAGGAGGATGAACATCATGATGCGAATGATAATGGGCATGAATCAGAAGATGATGGTGGCGATGGCGATGACATGGATGGTGTCGATGGTTCTAGCCGCGATGATGACGACTAGGACGACGACACTGATGATGCGGTAGTGCTGATGCTTGCCATGGTGACGATGCGCATTGCGATGACCATCGTGACGTTGACCACGAGAATGGTCATGGTGGTGATGAAGATTGTGAGGGCTATGATGGTGGTGGGAGTGGTGATGGTGACGGCGCCGCCGATGCCGCTGCCGATTGGTCGGCCGGCGGCGACCGGCGGGTTCGGGGTTCGGGGGGTGCCCCACCCGCGTGCGGGCTTTCCTCCCCGAGGCTCTCGTGGCCCGGTTCGCGGGCGCTAGCGGCGAGGAACGGTGGCGTCGTTGTCGTCGTTGTCGTCGTCGCCGCCGCCGTCGTCGTCGTCGTCGTCGTCGTCGTCGTCGTCGTCGACGTCGACGTCGACGTATGGGGAGGAGGAAGGCGAGGAGGACGAGGAGGAGCAGGAGAAGGAGGAGGAGGAGGAGCAGGAGGAGGAGCAGGAGGATCAGTGTAAACTCAAGAGTCATCAACGATGTGGGCATAAACCCTCCCTCCAAGCTCCCTCTTCATAGGCCCCTACAAGGGTTCATTTGCACTGAGGGAACTGCTTCATTGGAAGACAACCGTTTGAAGACCCTGAAGCATGCAAAAGCACTGTTCTCGAGACTCCAAGGCCACGGATCAACCTGACTCTTGCGTCTTGACGATCTTGAATCGTGCCAGAAAGCCATTCCTGGGACCGCGAATCAACGTGACTGTGGCGCCCTCGTAATCCAGAATCTCCAGAACACCATGTCTGGCTCTTTGACCATGCGAATCCGTGAAGCTCTTGCAACACAAAAAAAAGAATGTGCGCGGCGCTAAGGCGAGAGCCGCATTTTGAAAAGGAACCGCCCTCAATCCGTCAAGCTCTTGCAAATGTTCAAAACCAAAGTGCGCGGCGCCAAGGCGAGAGCCACATTTTGAAAAGGAGCCGCCCTCAATCCGTGAAACACTTGCACATCTTCAGAATGAATGGGTGCGGCGCTAAGGCGAGAGCCACATCTTGAAATTCACCCGCCCTCAAACCGTGAAGCTCTTGCACATTTCTGTAAACGAATGCGCGCGGCGCTGAGGCGAAAGCCACATTTCGAAAACCTCCCACCCTTCATCTCTGAAACGGATGCCAGTTTTTCATCATCAGGGTCATAAGTGGTAAGGAAGTCTCAGGCGAAACGCCCAACCCGCCCTTTCGACCAGCCTCGGGTGTGCGGCAGGGAGAAGTTATGTATACGGAAAAGGAATGGAGGAGGAGGAGGAGGAGGAGGAGGAGGAGGAGGAGGAAGAGAGGGAGGAGGAGGAAGAAGAGGCGGAGGAGGAGGAGTTGGAGTGGAAGCACCAGTCCTGGAGCTTCAACGCCGCGAATCAGCGTCACCGTTGCGACCTGACAGTCCTAAATCCTAGCAGAACATCATGTCTGGGACGCGAGCACCGCGAATCAACGTCAGTGTTGATATCTGTCAATCCCCACTCGTGCCAGAATACCATTTCTTGCCGGGCTTGTGCTGGTGCGATTTCAAGGAAGTTTCGCATCGTTTTTAGTGTAGTCTCTTCTTGTCCCCTTCCTGTTTCTCCTTCCCCTCCTCCTGGATCCCCTCTCCTTGCGCCTCATGCGATGGATTTACTTGTATGGCCGTAGGAGGTATAGGTCTGCATGTCTGCCTGTTTTCACAGCTCCCGGGTGCGCGCTAAGGCTCGCTTATGGCAGGTTTGCTTGAGCGCTGCTCCAGGCTTTTGGCCTGTCACCTCCGCCTTTCCCTTCCTCCTCCTTCTCCTTGCTCGTCCTCCTTCCTCGTCCTCCTCGCCAGCTTCCGCTCGCACTTGCGGCCGAATTTCGTGACGTTTTCGCTGCGTTTTGACGCGTCGAGGAAATGTTACTTAAGACCAGTTTTTTTCCTTGTGCTCGCTCTGCGGTAGTTTTACTTACTGCCGGCTTTTTCTTTGGGCACCGCCTCTGTGTGTGAGAGGGAACAAGAACACCACCTCTGGGACGTCAGCCATCATAATCAGTGACATGTGCTAGTATAGTTTTCAAGGCGAGTGTGCGAGGCGCTGAGGCGATGACCACATTTTCAAAACGGACCACCCTCCATCCGAGAAGCTTTGCAAACTTTTAAGTCGAATGTGCGCGGCGCTAAGGCGACCACAATATTTTGAAAACAACCCTTCCTCCATCCGTGAAACGGTTGCAGTGTTTCAGCTTGAGCAAACCGAATGGTGCGGAAGTCTGTCTCAGGTAACACGCTGGGCCCACTCTACTGAAACATCTCGAGGAGCGGCAGGGAGGAGTTATTCATAAGGAAGAGGCATGGAGGCGAAGGAGGAGGAGGAGGACGAGGAGGAGGAGGAGGATGGGAATAAGGAAGAGGAAGGGGAGAAGGAGGGACCAAATGAACAGGAGGAGTATGATGAGGAGGAGGAGGAGGAGGAGGAGGAGGAGGAGGGATGACAAGTATGAGGAGGAGGAGGAGGAGGAGACGGAGGAGGAGGAGGAGGAGGAGGAGGAGGAGGAGGAGGAGGAGGAGGAATATTCCCAAGACGATGTCTTCTGAAACGGTGGCGGCGATGACATAGATGAGAAACACGACGAGGGATGCGTGTGTATAACAATATTCTAGTGTATGGAAAGATCGCGCTCACTATATTTCATGCCCCTCCGCACAGAACAGAGGAGGAGGAGGAGAAGGATGAGGAAGAGGAGGAGGAGGAGGAGGAGGAAAAAGGATGAGGAGGAGGAGGAAGAGGAGGAGGACGAGGAATTTGAAGCAGAGGGGCAGAGGGGTTCTCGGGGAAAGGGGTCCTCAAGGCTGTCGCCGTCTGCCGCCTCCTGCAGTCCCTCCTGGGCCCCAACAAGAAACGGGGAAAGACCTGTCCTTGGGAAAGCCATTGGGTCCTGGTCCCGTTTCTTTTAGGGCCCTTTTTCTTCTCCATGCCGGAGCATTTTCATGTTCCTCCGTTGTCCTCGGCGTCGTCGTTGTTGTCGCTATGGTCGTCGTCGTCCTCTTCTCTGGTCATTTTCGGTCGTTGTCGGTGGTCAAGCTCGCCCTCTTTTTTCGTCAACAACCCTGGGTAATGCGCAGCAGCGCAAGACGAGAAAAGTCGTCTCCGTCCTCTCCGCCTGTCGAGCATTCGAGCACGTTTTCCCTCGGATGTCTTGTTTCAAGACCAGCCTTGCATTGCAGGATGGGCAGCTCGCGTTTCGCGTCCCAGTGATGCACCCTGGGCAGCAGGGGGGGGATCGGGAGCGGGCGGGACAGATATGAAGAGGATGTTGCTACCAGAAGGAGGGAGGGCGTAACATTGCGAGGAGGAGGATCATGAGGAGGAGGGGGAGGAGCAGGAGTAGGCGGAGGAAGGGGAGAGGGCAAGCTAGGTGTGCTCGCGTCATATCTGACGTCCTACCCCTCCCTCCCATCCCTTACCATGGCGTAGATCTCTTCTCTATTCGCACAGTCGGATGTCGAGCAGGGCAATGATCGCGATAGGGTGCGCGATGCATAGTAGAGCACGGCAGAGCAGGGCGTAGAAGAGCACGGCAGAGCGTAGCATGCCGTAGCATTGCGTGGCGTTGTGTAGTGAAGAATTGCATAACGAAACGTTACAACGCAAACAATTGCATCGCACAGTGGCACAGAACACAACACCGGACAGCATGTCATGGTATGACGCCGGGTTCTTTGATAAGTGGATCGTCTTCGAGAGGTCTGGGCCAGTCTGAGGTCGTGGCTCCATGTCTAGCTCCTTGGGCTCTCCGAAAAGCTCCACACAAGGCGGTGCTGATGGAGAGCGCCCTCTGGCTCTGCTTTCAGCATCGCCTTCTCAAATCAGAAACGGGGCTCCCGCTTGATACGTCCTGAAAACGACGACGCTCCAAGAGTGGGTGGGCTTCTGCGGCCCAACAAACTCAACGAATCGACACGAAAATGTAATCACTTCGGATGGTTGTTTCGGGGGGCCATTTTCTAGATTCTTGGGCATGCCATCGCACAGCGGAACACCACATAGCATTGCATTGCATGCCGTAGCATGGTACTGGAAATAATGACGCCAGCGCTGCAGCGGGAGTACGATTCGGAACGAACCAGAGCGTAGAGTGAGGGCAGCGCTGCAGCGGGAGCACGATGCGGAACGAGCGGGAGCGCGGAAATGACGCCAGCGTTGCAGCGGGAGCACGATTCGGAACGAGCGGACGCCCGAAAACGAGGTCAGCGCTTCAGCGGGAGCAACATTTTGAAATAACAAGTGAAAAGCCACTTCCCCAGAATTCTGTGTCAAAAATCACGTACGCGGAGGGGGGCCGGACATCTTCTGGACGTCATCAGGGGAGGGGAGAGTAGTATTCATGTTGTGTAAATGTGGAGGGAGAGGACGAGGAGGAGGACATCCTATCCCTCACTTCCGTCCCTTCCCATGGCGCTTATTGTTTCTATCTGCGGATACGCGTCGCCGACCTGGAACTACCCCAATCAAAAACCCATCGTGTTATGTTCGAGCGGACAGTGGAAGCTGCGTGCAGAAAGGGAGGTGGCGGGTCGGCGGGAGGATGAGAAGGAAGAAATGGAGGAGGACGTGGAAGGAGGAGGACGAAGACGAACAGCAGGAACTGGAGTGGACGGAGCGGGAGGAGCAGCAGGACCAGGGGAAGGCGGAAGAGGGGAAAAGGAGGAGGGCGCCAACGAGGAAGGGCTCGGATCCCGAAGAGCTGCCCGCGCCTGGGGCCGAGAGCGCAGGTTTCTGAGCGACGGCAGCGGAGCCGCGATCCTGAGACAAGGCCCCACGCTGCAGCGGGAGCAATATTTTGGAAGGACCGAAGGTGATGGGCCTGTTCTCCACCACCACCACCACCAGAAGTTGGAGGGGGGAAGGAGGTGGGGGATGAGGGGTGATGATGATGATGATGATGATGATGATGATGATGATGATGATGATGATGATGATGATGATGATGATGATGATGCTGATGCTGATGCTGATGCTGATGCTGATGATGATGATGATGATGATGTTGATGATGCTGATGCTGATGCTGATGGATGCTGATGATGCTGATGCTGATGTGATGCTGATGCTGATGCTGATGCTGCTGATGCTGATGATGACGATGACGACGATGATGATGATGATGATGATGATGATGATGATGATGATGATGATGATGATGATGATGGTGATGATTATGATGAGGATGATGATGGATGATGATAATGATGATGATGCTGATGCTGATGCTGATGCTGATGCTGATGCTGCTGCTGATGATGACGATGCTGCTGATGATGATGATATGATGCTGATGATGATGCTGATGATGCTGATGATGGTGCTGATGATGATGATGGTGATGATGGCGATGATGATGATGATGATGATGATGATGATGATGATGATGATGATGATGATGATGGATGATGATGATATGATGATGATGATGATGATGATGATGATGATGATGATGATGATGATGATGATGATGATGATGATGATGATGATGATGATGATGATGATGATGATGATATGATGATGATGATGATGATGATGATGATGATGAGGATGAGGATGAGGATGAGGATGAGGATGAGGATGAGGATGAGGATGAGGATGAGGATGATGATGAGGAGGAGGAGGAGGAGGGAGGAGGAGGAGGAGGAGGAGGAGGAGGACCCCCTCCAACTTGTGGTGGTGGTGGTGGTGTTGGTGGTGGTGGAAAGCAGGCCCATCGTGGAAGATCGCAGATGGCCGACCATTTTTCGGGGACCCAATGTGCAACAACAAAAACCAAAGCACGGATGGGGGGGGGCGTTCTGCCCAGTCGGCGTCTTCTTCGGGGGGAAGAGAGGGGGGCAGTATTCGCATCGTGCAACTGTGGATGAGGAGGAGGAGGAAAGGGAGGAGGAGGACGAGGAGGATGAAGAGGAGAAGGACGAGGAGGACGGAGGAGGAGGAGGAGGAGGAGGAGGAGGAGGAGGAGGAGGAGGAGGAGGAGGAGGAGGAGGAGCAGGAGCAGGAGGAGGAGGGGGAGGAGACCATGACCAAGACCACCCTAGGATCCAATGGCATCCACCTCGCGCCTCACCGCTGCACGCCTTCGCCATGGCAAACAGTTGCTGGATCCAGAGCTATGAGAGCCTTCCGCAGCAAGCACGGGACAGGGGGAGCCTGACTCAGGCCTGCCAGCGAGCCTCCGGGGTGCTTGGCTGCTGGATGGCCCCGAAGGCGAAGCTACACACCTCTCACGCTAGTGATGGCACACACCCGTGCACGCCACCGCGTCCCCCGAGCACGCCTCGAACGAACAAGTTACTGCATCTCTCGGCATGCCGTGCAACACTGAGTGGGCAGCGTGCTCGCCAAAATCTGTGCGCATAACGGTGCAGGAGGAGGGGGAGGGGGAACGAGACACGTGGCAGCTTAGAAGCAGAACGCTACGAGAGGATATGCCCACGGCGCCACAAACCGGACGCGGGGAACTTCTGCACAGCGCAGCAATTGTTGTACCTGCATTGATCGCGCTGGGGGCACCCAGAATGCGAGGGGGAAAATCGCACACAAAACATTCGGATGCAAATCCTGGGAGGTCACATTCTGATTTAGCACTGGTCCGAAATCTCGCTGCATCCGGCTTAATCCCGCTTAATCCCGCTTAATCCGGCTCGATCCCGCTTAATCCCGCCTAATCAGGCTTAATCTCGCCTGATCCGAGGCCCACTCTGGCTAAACAGCCCCCCGATGGGGCTTAACTCCCCTTATTCCTTCCGACGAAAACCTCCCAGTAGTTGCCTCCTAACAAAACATCGGGCGATGAGAACTATACACATGCACCGATCCTGGCAAGGCCCGTCCTCGACCCAGGATCGGAGCATATACCTTCCTGGCCAAGGCAGCGGGCGTATGCACCGATCCTGGGCTCAGGGTGGGCCTGGCCAGAATCGGTGTATGAGCATAGTTCTCTTTCCTCCAAAACACAGCGGTGCTGTGCACCGGTCCTCCCCTCCCGGTTTTGGCGGCCCCGACTGGCCTCCGTCGAGGTGGTTCCTCCGCCTCGGCGGGCGCTCGCCGCAGCTGCCTGCGCGCACCGCGCTGGCTGGAGGAGGAGGAGGAGGAGGAGGAGGAGGAGGAGGAGGAGCAGGAGGAGCGCCGCGCTCACTTGCGAGAGGAGGCCTGCGGCTCGCGGCGCGCCTTGCCTGGGGACGGGCATGCGATGCTGGACCTGGCCCTCCGCCCAGTCGACCGCTGTCTGGAGCGGGATCGTGCCGTCTTCGACGCGGGCTGGCCATGCGCGCCGAGAGGGCGCGGGTCACTTTGAGAGGTCTGTCAGCCTCGCCGCCTCTCGCTCGAGCGCGCCCTTCGGTGCGGGCCCGATGCGCCGCAGGTCCTTCTGGAGCTTGCGGCCTGCCGTCATGGCCGCGCCGCCTCCAGGGCGGAGAACTTGGTATCGATCGCGAACGTCATGCGAACGACGTGGTCCTTGCCCTCCCGCGCTGTGTGGCCGAGCTCCACCCGTGGGTGCCCGCTGCCACTCCGCGAGAGAGATGGATATCACAAGTGGGTGCACAGGTTGTGACAGTGCAGTTCCCGGGATCGCTGGTCGCCAGAAGATGCAGCTTGAGCAAAACAGGTGACTGAGGAGGAGGAGGAGGAGAAGGAGGAGGAGGAGGCGGAGGAGGAGGAAAAGGAAGAGAAGGCGGAGGAGGAGGAGAAGGAGGTGGAGGAGGGAGAGGAGAGGATGAGTAAGGGAAAGAGGAGGACGAGGGCGAGGAGTGTGAGGAGGAGGGGAAGCGTAGGAGCAGGAGGTGGCGGCGGCGGCGGCCGCGCCAGGAGCTCGCCGGCGAGCTGCTGGACGCGGTGCCCGCGCCGGATGCGCTGTTAGGCCGCCTGCCACACGAGCGACGCATGCGTCTCCCGTCGGCGTGGTCGTTGTCGTGGTCGTGATCGTGGTCGTGGTGGTGCTGGTGGTGGTCGTCGTTGCCGCCGCCGCCGCCGCCACCACCGCCGCCGTCGTCGTCGTCGTCGTCGTCGTCGTCGTCGTCGTCGTCGTCGTCGTCGTCTCGTCGTCGTCGTCGTCGTCGTCGTCGTCGTCGTCGTCGTGGTCGTGGTGGTGGTGGTGGTGGTCGTCGTCGTCGTTTTCGTCCGAGGTTTTCGGGCTTTCTCTTCGGTCCCGAAAGGTTACCCAGCCTCGGATGCTCTCCTGCAGCCGCGCCTCGCCGAGGGCGTTCTGGGAGTGCGTGGATCGTCACGAACCGCCACTAGAGGCCCGAGTTACAACGGCCCGAAAACCATGCCTCTTCGCATCTTGGTAACTTTACGGCGGAAGGTCGTGGTAAGCTGCAGCCTCGTGCGTAACTAAGCCTCTGCGGGGCTCCATGACCGTCTCCAAGCACGACTCGGGAAGCAAAGCTGGTCTTGGAGCAGGGGTCCAGACCTCTACGGAGCCGTGGTGTTGACAAGAATTCTTGACGCTTTGCGTATCCCCACCAGCCTTGAGGAAGGTTTGGAGCGGCCGCAACCCGTCCGTCATCCTTGTCTTCCTCGCGTACTCCGTGGTACCTGGAGGTCGTTTTCCTCCTGGGCTGTGTCTTCCTGCTCGACTCGGAGGCGCTCGCTGCTGGAGGCGCTCTTCCTCGAAGTGTACTACGGGGTTAAGGACCGCGCGTTCCGCAGGCTACCTGTGGAGCTTGGTTGGGCTCCCGTCTACCGTCTTCGCCTTCTTGGATCTGTGGGACCTACGTCATCGACGCCGCGGGGCTCCTCTTCTGCTTCGGTTTTCAGTTCGGCATCCTCCTCATCGTGGTTTCTGCGCCGCAGTGAGGTGCCGTGCGCCATTTTGGTTGCGCTGGGCTCCGTCCCGCTCGCTGCCTAGCGTCTCTCGCATCTTTGCTTTTCCGTTTGCCGGTGGCGCAGCCTGCCCCAGCGTGCCCGGCGTTCGAGTCGTTTCGCGCGCCCGCGTGCCAAACGTATTTCCGCCAGCCCATGCAGAAACAGATGCCCTGGCGATTTGCCTGGATGAGGGCAGTGTCGAAACATGCCGTGTGACCGCCTCGGGCGCGTTTTCTCAATGGTCCGTTGGAGCCATCCTGGGGCTCTCTGAAGGTTTTCGCCGAGTTTTTTGGGTACCCCCGAGGCCCTTTTTGGTTTCTGTTGGGGCCATCTTGGGGTTCCGCAGGAGTCTGAGAGGCCTCTCGGGGCCGATTGTCGGCCGCGCGGCTCAAGAAGGGATTGTCTTCAATCCTGGTCCCTCTTCGGACGCCCAAAAAGGGATTTTTGGGGCCCTCTTAGGGCGCTCTTGGAGCGCTTTGAGGCGCTCTTGGAACCCTCTTGGGGCCCTTGTGGCTTTTTCGGGGGCTCACTTGCGCCATCTTGGGGCCGTTTTGATGCTTCGAACGCCCATCGGACGCGAACCGGCGAGAGGGCAAACGACGTTGAGTATCTTTAGGTTGTTGACCCACTATGGCATTTGGGGGGTGTCCTGGAAACCTTGAAGTGCACCTGGGACTGCCTTGAGGCTGTCTCCAGGCCTCTTGGAGGCATATCGGAGACCACCCCGAGCCATTTTCGGTTATCTTTAGCTATCTTGGAAACGATATTGGGCTCTGTCAGGCCGCCTTGGGGCCATCTCGGGCCATCTTAGACGATCTAGCCCCTCCGACCCCATCCCCTCCCAGGTCCAGGGGTGGGGGCAGGGGGAGGGGTCAAACTTCCCACCCGCCCGCAAGCCGTCTTGCTCACTCCCACCAGCCTTCCCAACAAATACGGAGCACCTGGGGGTCAGCATATCGCGTAAGAACGCCACACGCCACGGGTTCAGATGCACCAGGCCTTGGAGACCCAAGCGTGCCAGGCGCGCCAGTTGCGGCGCGCGCTCCACGCGCGCCCAGTGTTCCACGTGTTCCAACCGCGCCAGGTGCGCCAGCCAGTGGGAGCCGATAGGGGGTCCACCCGCGTGCGCCGCAATTGCTGCAACGCCAGCAATTGCGCACGCCCCAGCGCACACTTGTGGCTGCTGGCCACCGTGCGCGGCTCCCCCCCCCATCCACGCATGAAAAGCACGAAAAACAAACGTGCGAGAAGGCGCGTGGCAAGACACACCAACGAACCTGTATGCACCGAGCCATCCTCGTCGAAGTGCAATGCTTCATGCGCACCAAAGCATTCCCCCCCGCCTGGCTGGTTGTAGGTTCAACTGCGACAGGGAAGCTCCGCTGCTTCGGGGCGGCCGCGCATGCTCCAAATGTGCAGGCAGGGTGCGTGTTGTGCCTTTTGGCGCCCTCTTGGCGCCAATTTGGGGCGTCACCGGGGCCAGTTTGGAAGCCTCTTGGGCCCGTCTTGGCCAATTGTGGCGCCATGTAGAGGTTCCGACATCCCATCGGAAACGGGACGGCGAAAAGGCAGCAACCACGGAAGTGTCAAACCAGTCGGTCGACCACGTGCGCCCAGAAGACAGGTGTGATCTGCTGGCACCACCGCTCCTGTAACATACTAGTGCGAGATGGTCGCGGGGCGGCCGCGCATGCTCCCAATGTGGAGGCACAGTGCGTTTTGTAATGTTTTGTACAGGGATGCTGGGGGGGTGGCCCTCATGGGGCCGTCATGGTTCGGGGTTGGCCGCCGGCCGGGTGGGGGAGGGGGATGTATACTAACAGATAACAGTGATCAGTACACCGTCTTGGATAGCAATCCGTCTGGCTCACTCCCACCTGCCCTCCAAATACATAAGTGACACCCGAGCCGCAACATCCCCCAGAAAGGGGAAGGAGGGGCTTTGGCTGGAAGGACGCAAAACTTGTTGAACCACCTACGCCCAGGAGGTTCCCACTCCTCCTCCTCCTCCTCCTCCTCCGCCTCCTCGTTGTCCGCTCCTGTCCTCCTCCTCCTCGTCCTCCTCTCCTCATCCTCGTCCTCCTCCTCCTCACCTCCTCCTCTCCTCCTCCTCCTCCTCCTCCTCCTCCTCCTCCTCCTCCCCCCCCCTCCCCCTCCTCCATCCTCCTCCTCCTCCTCCTCCCTCCTCCTCCTCCACCTCCTCCCCCTCCTCCTCCTCTCCTCCTCTCCTCCTCCTCCTCCTCCTCCTCCTCCTCCTCCCCCTCCTCCTGCTCCTCCTTCTCTCCTCCTCTCCCCTCCTCCTCCTCCTCCTCCTCATCCTCCTCTTCCTCCTCCTCCTCCCTCCTCCTTCCTTCCTCCCCTCCTCCTCCTCCTCCTCCTCCTCCTCCTCCCCTTTGTCCTCCTCCTCCCCCTCATATCCCCTATCCCCACGGAGGATCCTCCTGCTCCTCTTGAGGAGCGAGGCTTCTGGATGCTATTTGGCCCTTCTCGGGCCTCGAGGGGGGGCGTCCTCCCAGGGCTCGCCCCTCGGGGGCACATGGGAGGCCTCCAGGGGTTAACCAGAGGCCGTCGGCCGTCGTCGGTCATCGTCGGTTGTCGGTCGTCGGTCGTCGGTCGTCGGTCGTCGGTCGTCGTCGTCGCCGCCTCCGCCGCCGCCGCCGCCGCCGCCGCCGCCGCCGCCGCCGTCGTCGTCGTCGTCGTCGTCGTCGTCGTCGTCGTCGTCGTCGTCGTCGTCGTCGTCGTCGTCGTCGTCGTCGTCGTCGTCGTCGTGCGTCGTCGTCATCGTCGTCGTCGTCGTCGTCGTCGTCGTCGTCGTCGTCGTGCGTCGGCGGCGTCGTCGTCGTCGTCGGCGTGCGTCGGCGTTCTGCTCCACGGAGTGGCCCTGCGCCCCGAAGTGAGCCCCCCCGGGGCGCGGCCTACGGGGGCTTGCGGGGAGCAAAATTCCCAAGCACGCATGCCATTATTGCTGCACTGCCCGGTCATCGTTGTTTCTGCTGTCGCGCGTGGCCGAGTAGACGCGTGTGTAATTAGATCGGCCCGCGGCCCGGACCTTTCACCACGGCGCCTGCGTTTTCGCTCGCGCCCGCGAGGGAAAGATGGCCGAGTAGATTGTATGAAGAACCCGCCCCCTCGGCTTCGTCCACATGTTGGGGCCAGGACGAGGACAAGTCCGCTCCAGATCGATCCGGAGCGCCCTGAGAGCCTCGGGGAGCGCGCTGAGGAGGCCGCGGCGCCCGAGATGTCCTGCACAACCGCCAGATCTCAGAGATTCTCGATTTCTCCTCGCCCGAATGGCTTCGTCCTATGCCTTTGGCGGGGCGGGAGTGCTCGACACCCCTGGGTCGCGTCCTAGCCAGGATCCCGACCGAGGCGCCGTCGAGGCCGCAAGGCCGCAGCCTGAGCGATCCAGACATGAAGCTATGTACGAATCGTCCCTGCCAAGGTTGTTTTTTTGTGTTTGATGTTTGTTTGTTTTGTTTCCGCTTGGCTCCATCACGCATCGGTCGTTGAAAGTAGATAATTCTGGACCCTCAGGTCCCACTCTTCTCTAGCTGCCTTCCTGCTTCCATCCTGGAGTGGCTTGGCCTCTTGCGTCCTCTTCAGGGGGCGGGCGGAAGCCCAGTCTATTTTCATCGCCTTCTTACTTCATGCTTCTACCCTCCTCGTCCTCCATTACGAACCTCACCAGAACCAGAGCAGGAACTTAACCAGAACCGAAATCGGAACTCGGCCAGCTCCGGAATCGTGCCTACCTACAGTCAACCCGCATCGTAAGGATGAGCGGTTTTCCAGGGTTGCCCTTGCATCTTTCGCCTTCGGCCCATCCTTGGCAGCTTCCGCTGGCCTTGCCCCGCCCGCAACGTGTCGACATGGCCTTCCAATGCCCCTGTATCCTTACCGCGTGCCCCTGCTATGCGGCTTGACCGTACCTCGGACGAGGCCAGGACGAGAATAACTCCGTGCCGGAGCGGAACGCTCTGAGCAGGCCGCGGCGCCCGACGCGTCCTTCAGCGCCGCCGGATCTCAGCGATCCTCGACTTCCCCTCGCCCGATTTGGTCCTCGTCCTGGCCTCGTCTTGGCATTAAGTCGGGCGTGTCCCCCTACAGGGGGGATTCTCGACGAACAATCAAAAATTCTCGAAACATATGCAGAAAATAGTCCAAACAGGGATTATTTGTTGTTTGCATTTTTTATAGCTTTTTGGGGTGTTTTTGTTGGGGTATTTTCCATTTTTCGTCGAAAATCCCTCCGTAGGGGGGACGCGCCCGACATAATCTTGGCACCTGTGGCACGATCCCGAGACGGAAGCTGCGGGGGCTGCCGGCCCCTGGCGTCTTCCGCCCTCCTCGGCGGCGCGCGTGGCCCGGCGCCTGCCCGCGAGAGCATCCGCTTCGAGGTTGGGCGCCCGTCCCCCCCTCTCCTCCGCTGTCGTTCGTCGAGGGTGGTCGAGGGCGGTCGGCGTCCCACCCACCCATGACCCGAGACATATCGATTTCAAAACGACGGCGACGACCTCGATGACGAAGACGACGATATTGATCTCAAGACGACGACGACGACGACGACTACACAGTCGCGCAAAGACTTCTGGGAAGTCGCTGCAACAGCGATGCGGCCCGCCAACCTTCGAGGGTGGTCGGCGTCGACGTCCTCGCCAACCTCCGGCGCCACCCCAACATGCTTATGATACAATGTGTGCGTCGTCGCCCCCCCCCCCCAAGGGCGACGCGCGCACCGAGAGATCTTACAGCACATGCGTCGTGGCGGGCGCTTTCGGGCCGCACCGCTCGGGAAACGATCTATATACTGCAGGGTGGGTGTGTACCATACGTTCGGGTCGCACGCGCGCCTCCAGGGAGGACACCCTGCCCTCGGCTCGTTGGCAAGCAGTATTCGTATGTCCCCTGTGCGTCCCAGCCCGTGCTCGTGAGGGCACCCTCGTCCTCCCGCGGCGGAGCCCCCCCCCCCCGCGGCCCCTCGGCCGTGCGGCGGGGCCGCCGCGCCGCCGCCCGGCCGCCGTCGCCCCGCGCCCGCCCCGCCGCGGAGAGGCCGCCTGCCCACGGGCGACGCCTGCTACGTGGTGATGCGCGCGGGCGGCCGCTCCCCGCTCGTCGCTCCCGCTCGTCGTCGTCGTCGTCGTCGTCGTTTCCGTCGTCATCACCTTCGTAACATCATCATCATCATCCTCATCCTCATCATCACCATCCTCTTCATCATCACCACCATCATCATCACCATCCTCATCATCATCATCAATTTCGTCATCGCCATCATCGTTATCCCTATCATAATCATCATCGTCATCATCATTATCGTCATCTTCATCGTCATCGTCATCGTCACCATCACCACCAGCATCATCACATTCACCATCACCATCATTATCATCATTAGCATCTTCATCACCATTACCATCACCATCACCATCACCATTGTCGTCGTCGTCGCCGTCATCTTCGTCGTCGTTGCTCGTGGCCGTGATCGTGATCGTGATCGTCGTCGACGTCGTCGCCCGTCGTCGTCGTCGTCATCGTCGTCGGCGTCATCGTCGTCGTTTCCGTCATCATCATCAGCACATCATCTTCATTTCCATCCTCATCATGCTCATCAACATCATCATCACCATCATCACCATCATCATAAGCATTGTCATCATCGTCGTCATCGTCATCATCTGTATCATCACCAGCATTATCATCACCATCATCATCACATTACCATCATCACCATCCTCCTCATCATCCTCATCATCACCACCATCATCACCATCATCATCATCATCCTCATCGTCATCACCACCGTCATCATCACCATCATCTTCATCCCTATTATTAACATCGTCATTGTCATCATCATCATCGTCATCGCCATTATCACCCATCATCATCACAATCACAATCATCATCACCATCATCATCAACATCATCATCATCATTATCGTCGTCATCATCACCATCATTATCCTCATCAACATCTCCATCACCATCACCATCACCATCACCATCACCATCGTCGTTATCGTCGTCACCGTCATCTTCGTCGTTGTTGCTGGTGATCGTGATCGTGATCGTGATCGTCGTCGTCGTCCGTCGTCGTCGTCGTCGGCGTTGGCGTTTGCGTCGGCGTCATCGTCGTCGTCGTCGTCGTTTCCGTCGTCATCATCATCAATACCATCACCATCATCGTCATCATCATCATCATCATCATCATCATCATCACCATCCTCATTATGCTCATCAAGAGGCCGTTTCTCGATTGCTTGGGGCATGACGGGCGTCATGGCCCCAGGGCCCCCCCCCCATGACGTAACGCTCCCCCTCCAGTGCGTTCCGGGCACTGCCGCCGTGCGCATCGTGATCCGCATAGGTGTCCGCATAGGTGTCCACAACGGAGTCTGGTCGTCGTCGTCGTCGTCGTCGTCGCCGTCGTCGTCGTCGCCGTCGTCGTCGTCGTCGTCGTCGCTCGTCGCTCGTCGCTCGTCGCTCATTGCCGTCGTGCTTGTTCCTGGCCGATGACGGCAATCATTTGGTGGGGGTGGAGGGGGCCGATGACGTCACGTTTCGCGCCAGCGGCGTCTGGGAATGCCCAGGAATCACCGAGGACGGGTAGCAGCAGCATGTCGGTGGCGATCTGCACCACAACGCCTGTGTACACCATAGTGCCTGCGTGCACCAAAGCGCCTGTGTACACCACACCGCCTACGTACACCACAGCAGCCGCGTGCATCACAGCGCCAGTGTGTGCCACAGTGCCTGCTGGCACCACAGCGCTTGTATACACAGCGCCTGCGTACACCACATCAGCTGTGTGCAACGCAGCGCCAGTGTACACCACAATGCGTGCACTCAGCACGGCACCAGTGAATAAACCATTCTGCGGTGCGCGCTGAGACGCGCACGTGCTCTGTAGTGTCGCCCCGCACGACAGGGGGGAAGGGTGAGGGAGGAGGAGGATGAGGACGAGGAGGAGGAGGACGAGGAGGAGGAGGATAAGGAGGAGGAGGAGGCGGAGGTAGAGGAGGGAGGAGGGAAACACGTCGCATTCTATTCTCAGCACTTCCCTGGCGGGGCGTTTAGCTGTACGCAGCAGATCCTCACCGGCATGCTCCTTCTACCTGTCCTGTGCACGCAGGCGCTCTGGTGTACACCAGCGCTGCGTTGCACGCGGATGCTGTGGTGTAGGCAGGCGCTGTGATGTGCGCAGGCGCTGCGGTGCACGCAAGCATTGTGGTGTCGACAGGCGCTGTGTTGCACATGGCTGTTGCGGTGTACGCATTCGCTGTGGTGTACACCGGCGCTGTGGTGCATGCAAGCACTTTGGTGTACACAGGCGTTGCGTTGCACACGGCCGTTGCGGTGTACGCAGGCGCTGTGGTGTACACAGACGCTGTGGTGCACGCGAGCATTGTGGTGTACACAGGCGCTGTGGGGCAGATCGCCACCTACATGCTGCTCGCGTCGTCGTCAACGTTTCCGTCGTCGTCGTCGCTCGTCGCTCGTCGTTCGTCGCTCATCGTCGTCGTGCGCGCGGGCGCTGCTGTGGTGCCCGAGCCGCACGGCGGGGGGGGGCGTAACGTCATACCCCTCCCCCGCCCCCCCCGCCCCCCCATCATGGCGCCCGTCATCGCCGATGATAAGAAACGTGCTCCAACACCATCATCATAATTATCGTCATCATCGTCATTATATGTATCATCACCAGCATCATCATCATCATCATCATCACCATGATCATCATCATCAACATCAGTATCATCGTCATCATCATCGTTGTCACCATCATCACCGCCATCACCATCACCATCATCATCATCATCATCATCATCGTCGTCGTCGTCGTCATCATCGTCTTCACCATCATCATCACCATCATCATTACCGTCGTCATCATCACCATCACATCATCAGTGACATCTCCATCACCATCACCATAACCATCACCATCACCATCACCATCGTCGTCCCCATTGTCGTCGTCACCATTATCTTCGTCGGCGTTGATCCTGATCGTGATCGTGATCGTCGTCGTCGTCGTTCGTCGTCATCGGCGTCGTCGTCGTTTCTGTCGTCATCATCATCGCATCATCAGCATCTTCCTCTTCATCCTCATCAGCACCATCATCACCATCATCATCATTGTCATCATCGTTATCATCATCGTCTTCACCATTACCATCACCATCCTCATCATCATCGTCATCATTATCATCGTCATCATCATCATTATCACCATTCTCATCACCATCACCACCATCACCATCATCATCATCACATTCATCATCATGGTCGTCGTCATCATCACCATCATCACCCTCCCCAACATCTCCATCATCATCATCATCACCATCACCCTCACCATCATCATCATCATCATCATCATCATCATCATCACCATCATCATTATTATTATTCTTATCATTCTTTATTATTCTTATTGTTAGTATTATTATTATTAGCACCATCACCATCACCATCACCATCACCATCACCATCACCATCATTATCACCATCGTCGTCATCGCCGCAGTCGTTGGCGTCACCGTCATCTCTGTCGTTGTTGATCGTCATCGTGATCGTGATCGTCGTCGTCGTCGTCGTCGTCGTGGTCTGCGCCCCCCGGCCTCCGGAGACCCTCCCAGGTTCTCGGCGGGCCTCTGCGGGGGACCTCCCGCGGACCTCGTCGCCGTCGCGTTCGCTGGCCTCCCCGCTCCCCGCGTCCTGCAAGGCAAGGGCGCCCCCGAGGGCGCGAAGCCTATATACGCGCTTCGCGCTTCCGGGTTCGGCTCCGATTCCTCCTCGTTCTCCTCTTCTCCCCTGGGGGGGGCGGCGCGAGAGCGGAAAGTTACTCGCGCTCTCGCGCGTCGCGCAGCGGGAAGCGCGAAGTTGGGCGCTCTTGCGAAAGAGTCACGGCCGCAGCCGCGCATCGCCGAGGGCGTCCTGGGGCGTGCCTGGATCCTCCCCGAGCGGCCGCCGCAAGAGCCCGAACTAATTGCCTGACGCGCGCGCAGGCATCAGCAGAACCTACCGCCGGGGGAGTCCCGACCTCTTCGCGTTGCGAGCAGCTTTTGGAATGTGCTGGAGCCTGGAGCCTGGTGAGGGCCCCCGAGAGCCCCAAAAAGACAGAACATCTCCGTCTCGATTTTGCTCACGCCGCGAGCCCAGACGTGCTCTCGGCGTGAAGAGTGCAGGGTTAGGTCGGGCCTGTCCCTCTACAGGAGGAATATTCAAACGCAGTCAAACACGAGTCTTTTATCAAAAAATGCAAATTTTGACTATTTTTTATCCGCCTGTAGGGGGACATGCCCGACCCAAGCGCAGCGCGGCGGGCTTCTGGCCCTTCTGGCCTCCAGGAGGCCCTCGCTAGGCCCCCCGGGGGCCGTCCAGACGAGGGCGCGAGGCGAGGGGCGGGTCCCCCGGGAGGGGTTCAGACCTCCAGGGAGCCACCTCGTGCAAGACGCAAGGCTGTTGAAAATCTGCGCGGTGACTGGTGAGGGGTACCCTGCTAGCCAGGCGTTGCCCTTTTTTTCGCAGCGGGCGTTTCCGCTCCGCTCCACTTCGGGCCCCAGGGCCTGCACAGATCGATCCGGTTCGAGGGATGGCACAGGAAGATGGGGTCCAGGGCTCCAGTCGTGCCTTTTTGCGATGCTGCAGTTTCTCGGCAACGTCCGATCTCAGGGTGGTCGTCGTCGTCGTCGTCGTCGTCGTCGTCGTCGCAGGTGGCCGCTCGCTGCTCTTCATGACCTGGCTCCCTGACGGGGGCCGCTTCCTGGCCGCCAAGACCAGGATGAAGTGCTCCACCCTGAAGGCACGTCCGTTCGATCCTGCCCGCCGTCGAGCTCGGCCGGTCCGCCCCGATTCGACTCCGACTTTCCGACGATACGATGCGCTACCCGTGTTATGAAGCTGCGTCCCCCAAGCGGATTGGTGCAACGGATTGGTGCAACGATTGGTGCAGAAATATTGGATTTCGATTTTTTTCGGTTTCTTTGTTCAAAAGTTGGGCATTCGGCGCGCGGCTTGCGTTCGTTCGATCCTGCCCGCTGTCGAGCTCGGCCGGTCCGCCCCGATGCGACTCCGACTTGCCGGCGGCCCGATGCGCCCCCCGTGCCCGCAGGCCGTTGTGGCGCGTGCCCGTGCGGCCGATCCGATTCGGCCTCGACC